AGATACAGCTATACATTTAATAAAATAAAAGGACGTGCTGACCTGGCTCAGTCGATCTCTAACTGTGGCTTTCTCTCATGAGCCCTATAATCCTGACACATGGGCTTCTAGATGTTTCTCCAGAAGGGGCATTCTCTGTTAAGTATCAGGCCTTCCCACTCACTTTCTGATCTTCCTAGAATGGATTCTCCCTTCTCTGCTTTCATACTTCCTCCTAGTCTTTCGAGATTCAGCTCAAAGAACATGTTTTTCAGAGAGTGCTCTCTGGCCTTTTCCTTATCATACTGATTAGCAATTAATTTGTTTTTCTTGCCCATCTTTCCATCAGACAATGAGCTTCTCCAGGAAGGCTCTGGGTGGTGTGTGTTATTTTTGTTTTGTTTTTATTATTCAAAATGCCCTACTATATACCTTGGTGCACAGCAGACATTTTCATTGAATAAATATATATAACTTTGCTGGAGAATTTATTGTATTAATGTAATTTTGTCCAGTAAGTATCAAGCATGAAATGAATCTTAACTTTAAAGCAACGTAAGGTGATCAATAAAATACAAATAAAAAGAAGTGAAAATCAAAACAATAATGGAACACCAAGGAGAAAATATTTAAAAAGAATGGAAGGCAAAATCATTAAAATCAGCACATAGTATTCATACAGAGAACTTCCCTTAATCTTTCAGAGTATTAGATGAAATATTTAATATATACGGAAAATATACAACATGCAAAAACAGTTAACAGTCTCTGTGCACAATTCTGGATAGCTCTTGATAATACAGTTTACTCACCTGAGGAACTGAATCTTTAAAAATATTAAGCCACTAAGTATTAGAACTGGGCACTTTTCTGATCAAGGGTCACTACATGGTTAAAAAAACATGAATATAAAGGAGAAAGATGACACATCTTTCCTATCTCCTTTGAAGCCAAATTTATGTTCTCCTGTCAACAAACTAAAAATGTAACAAATCCTGTTCTTGTGAGTGGCATATTGGAAACAGAGTAGACAAGTCTTTTTATGGGATAGTTACTACTATCTTCCTTTAAGAGTGAGTAAAGGTCTGCACAGCAAATTCCACTATGGGAACTTGTGCAAAGTTTCCTATGTTGCATTTGTTCTATTGCCAGAGTTGGATTAGGCCATGATCCCTGCTCTCTTGCAGAGTAGTTTGGTCCCAGATGTCTGGGACAGCTACTTATAAGATTTGGCATCAGAGTAAATATATTTGCATTTTCAAAAAACATGAAACATTTAAATTCTGTGCTTAAAGTTTTTTAAATAGAGAAAAATATTATTTTTTAATAAAACCTTTATGAAGCTTTTTATTAGGAAAAATTTCAAACATACTAAAAAGTAGATAAAATAACATATAACTTTCTCTACATCTACCACTGAGATTTATCAATTGCTAATGTTTTTGTCTTATTTGCTTCACTTTTTTACCTAATTATTTTAAAATACTTTACAGTGATCACGACAGCTAATCCTTTAAATATGTCTGTATGCATTTCTAAACAATTAGGACAATCAGCAGTTAATTTTTTTTCTTCTTAAGAGACTATACTATGCATTGATCATATCAGTAGAGAAACAAACCAGCTGATTTTTGGACACAGTTAAAGAGAAAATCAGAGAAGCCAATCAGAGAAGGGGTTTGATTCATTTTTTTTCTTATTTTACCTTATTTGCTTCATTTTTTATTTTTGCCCAATTATTTTAAAATACTTTATAGACATCATGACAGTTAATCCCTTAAATATGTGAGTATGCATTTCTAAAAATTTAGGACAACTGGCAGTTATATTTTTTCTTCTTAAGAGACTACATTATGCATTTATCATATCAGTAGAGAAACTAACTGATTTTTTGGACGCAGTTAAAGAGGAAATCAGAGGAGACAAACACAGAACTCATAACAAACTTACCGGCTGGAATCAAGATAAATACCTAGGTGTCTGTAAATGGCGGGTGTCACTCCTTGCCACAGCTTTAGAAAGCCTTCTTCTTGGATGATCCCTAGGGCTGTGCGTATCATGCCCCTATAGGGAGTAGATTCTCTTGCACCCTCTCCCAGCCGAGCAAGAGCAGCTTCTCCTTGCATCTGGAGTCGAGTTTTTGTGAGATCGAGGGGAAACGTTGCTAACACAAAAACAAACGAAGGGAAAAACCCACAACATTCAGAGAAACAAACAAAAATCCCCAAATCATAGACTAACAGTTTACCCGGACCAGTGGCATTCAAATTTTACAATCTATCAGAATCACCTAGAGAGATTTTTTTTTTTTTTTTTAAATTATAGATTTCCTAGCTCCATGCCTTTGGATTCCAATCCAAAAGGTTCAGGTTAGGGTTAGTTTAGAATTAGCTGATGGATTCTCACACACTCCCAGATTTTGGAATCACTGCATGATAATCCAGCATCCTAGATCATCAGCACAAAATTAAAAAGTGATAAGCCTTGGGTTCATAAAAATCTGTTTTAGTCCTCAATTTTCACTTTCCAATGGAAAATAAAATATCCCTATTCTGTAGCATCCCTTGACTGTAGCCATGATTGTTTAAGATCTGATTGAAGTTTAGAATACCATACATATGTATATTCTTAGGTACTATAATAAATGCTGGATGAAGCTGAATTCCATAATTTCACATGTAGATGAATCATTGACCTGATGTTTGAGATACAGAAGATGCAATGGAGTTTACAATGTCATCTTTTATACACAGGGTCACACATTAGTATTTTTACTGAAGGCATATATTGAATTGCTTTTCCAGCACTGATAAAGTTATGTGCATGGCCTACTCATGGCCTCCATAAAGTACCAAATGTATTTGTAAAAAAAAAAAAAAATGTGTTTAAATTTCAAATTAGAGTTAAGTTAATTGGCCCACAAAAGGAAGTTCAAGCTCATAAGTTTATAATACGAAATGTCCTGAATAATTGAAATAATAACATTCAGATAAGTTCATGAACATTAATGACATTCCACAACACTTTTTTTATGACCATCACCTGATACAACCCCCTCGTATGACTTTTCCAAGAGAAAACAGTATTGGCGGGCAGTGCCCGTAGCTCAGTGGGTAGGGTGCTGGCCACGTACACTGAGGCTGGCAGGTTCGAACCCAGCCCGGGCCAGTTAAAACAACAATAACGACTGCAACAACAATAACAAAAAATAGCTGGGTGTGTGGCAGGCACCTGTAGTCCCAGCTACTTGGGAGGTTGAGGCAAGAGAATTGCTTAAGCCCAAGAGTTTGAAGTTGATGTGAGCTGTGACACTACAGCCCTCTAGCCAGGGCTACAGCTTGAGACTCTGTCTCAAAAAGAAAAAAAAAAAAAGAACAAAGAAAAGTATTTATTGATAGGGGGAGGGAAGAGATTATTAAATCTTACCACTGGTCTTTGGAAAAGTTAACATCTTGTGGCTAGTTTCCCTAAAACAGAAGTACCTTGCATAAAATATCAAGCAATATTTTATTGACACATGAAACCTGAAAAGTCTTAAAAAAAATAGGCGCCTCTATATTAGCACAGACTAGGTTTCTTAAAATACGTCTTGTTTTCTTATACGTAAATAATGCTTCCATTTCTTGAATTGATTTATACTCAAAACCATCCATATTTTGATTCCTCTGCCTCCCATCCCTATTCCACACATAATTCTCTCCAAGAATTTTTAACAGGAAGACTATGCCTATAAAGATTGAGCCACATAAGTTAAAAAAAAAAAATCTAGTCTTTGGCAATCTGCTTTCAGATTTTTCCAAAGATGATGAATTTTATTTCAGTAAAAACAATGAAAAATAAAAGTCCTCTATTAGCTTTGAGAGGAGAGAGAAAAATGGGCCAAAGGACAAAAATGGAAGAGCACAAAAACAACAGGTCATGTGCTTGTTGTGAGGACCAGCATTTACAAATGTATTTACAAATGGTAAGTCATCAGAGCTGTTCTATTTTGTTTGTTTTAAACAGGCAAGAAGATATAAGGGTAATCTTAAATACACACTTAGGGCTTCACAGGAAACACAGAGGCGCTCTACTTACAAAACTCTCGGAATAAACACCACTCTAGGCGGCCTCTTAAAGTTTTCTCTCATTTGAGCAGATGTAACCTTTCTTCTATGCTCTTATGATACCTAATAATATCTTCGTTATAATAAGAATCCCATTGTCTTGTTTTTTTTCTACATGTCTCCCCACCAGCCTATAAGCAGGTCAGAACTGGGTCTCTGTAACTACATTTCTACAGTCCCTAGTATTGCAGTAATTATAATAATGTCTCGATTAATGGGTATCCTGCCCTGAATTTGGCGCTTGTATATTATTAACGTCTCAGAAACCTACAGGGTAAACAGAGACGAGTTAAGCTCAAAGAGGTCAAGTTACTGAAGGATGTTTAAACAGAATGTTCAATAAGTGACAGATCCCACAAGGTAGGTCCACAACTTAAGCCCCAAAGACAAGGGCACAGGGAGGCTATATGAGAATATAAATCACAGAGATTCAATACGGATGAAAAATGGATTGCGTTTTTAAAAGGTCATCCTCACGATAGGGAAAATTTCTATAGAGGAATGACAGCTCACGAAGCTTTTAAAAGTACACATTCAAGCATAATGGCACATCCCTGAAGGGGGATATTAGACGAAATTAGAAGGAAAACACCTCTGAGACCTCCCATTCCTTCTCCCCACAGAACTGGCCTCGTCCCCACCCGGCCGCATCTGCCAGACTGACGTGGAAGAAGAGGGCGCAACCCCTGGGATGCTCCCAGCCTGGAACCCGGCCACCCGCCTTCCCTCCCCCAGCGCGGAGCGGCGGCGACCGGCCCGGGAGGCCCAGGCAGAGGCAGCCGGGTACCTAGCTCGGCCACGGTAGCCGCGCAGCCGGACAGTAGGAACTTGCTCGCTCGGGGCCATCTCTGGGCGAGCGGCAGGAGCCTCTTATCATCCTCCGGGACGGACATTCAGCAGCAGGACCGGGCGACAACGCACCCCTGGTCGCCGGTGCACCGCGCCACAGCTGGCCGCCACCCTGCCAGGATAGCCCCTGTTCAGTCCGCCAGTGGCCAGGCGGGAACCATTTGCCTCGTAGGGGGTTTGGCCCGGAAACCTACAGGCTCCCCAGCAGTGTCAGGCTATAGCGGTCCAGCTGCCCCCTGAACCCCCAGAGCAGGAAAACAAAGCCGAAGCCACGAGGCTTCTGGGAAATGTAGTCCGAGCTCAGCTACTACACTGATTGCCCAGCAGCTGGACGCCCGCTGCGCCTCGCCGGCCTCCATGGCAACAGAATAGTCCCGCCCATCCACCCATACAGGGCTCAGCCCTGAATTTCTTCCGCGAGGTCCGAGACTCGAAGGAGAAGTGGAGGTGGGAGGGAAAAACGATGCAAAAATCACCTAAAAATCGGGGCGGGGAAAGGAAGCTGCAGTTAGGAAAGAGGGCTAGTTGCACAAGCTGCTGCAGAAAGGTTGGGAGGCCGGGCGGGTTTCGTAGACCTGGAAAAGAAGCCAGCCCTGAGGCAGCAGGACTTTTTCAAACTTCTCTGATTTCGGGAAGTTGCTCAAGGACAAAAACATGGAACTGATTTCCTCAGTAGCGATTACAATCCTAGGCTCCATTGCTCTATTCTTACTCCTTAAGTGGAAGAATTTGCATAGACCTCCGTGCATCAAGGGCTGGATTCCTTGGATTGGAGCTGCATTTGAGTTTGGGAAAGCCCCTCTAGAATTTATAGAGAAAGCAAGAATAAAGGTATGTGGCCACGGAAGCCGGGGTTTCCAGAGGAGATAAAGTTTTCTTTTCTTTTTTATTTTTTTCTGTCTTTGCATCTCAAGTGTGTTATTGGAACAAGGGGAACATACCTGTTTTCCGGATCTAAATTACTTAGTTATTTATTAATTCCCCTACTAACCATCAACAAGTATGACGTATGTGAAATTTTGCTAACGAAACGAAATCTAATACAGCTTGCATGTGGCTTTTTGGAAGTAAAGACTAACTTTTAAGTGCGAGTTACTTCAACGAAATATAAATTTAAGTGTCTGCGTATTAAGTAAATGCTTGAAGTAATTGGGAAAGACGGAAGTGTAATAAATTCTTATCCAAAGCAGAGGGAACACCACGATGTTGTAAAATTGCACGCAAAGTTGGTCTTTATCAATTCAACGGGAACCGTATTTTCAGCTGGTCTTGTTATGGGTAGAGATGAGCTGCATTTTCACCGCACCCCAAGGAGATTAGTCATCCTTCGTGTAGTAAATGCTTTTGTCCTTAAAAGCATCTTTCAAATGTCTGAGCACTTTAGAGAACAGAGCTTTGTTAGCCTTTTCATTTTTATTTTCCCACCACCAAGATTTAATTGTCTAATAAATTTGTATGATATATAAGTCACCATTATATATTAGTTATAATACTTTCTATGGTGATCCCTTCTTCATATAGATTCCTATTTAGGTAGCCCCATTTGTAGAGTAATTTTTGTACGAAGTAGCATCACATATGCCACTGATCATTTACTTTCAGAATCTCTGAGATTCTGGTTTAGTAAAACACGTAAAAAATGTTGAAGAGAATGACAATGAATATAGAAATGACCTAGCCTATCACACCAGAAATAAACACTGTAAAAATTTGGTGTATTTATATCATCTTGGCCTTTTTT